GGGAACTAGCAATAAAGATACGAGGATAATTGCGAAATATACGTATACTTACGTAACATCCTTAGCGCCATTGGTAAGATTGGTCACCTCGGGTGTCTCATCGCCCGAATTAGTCTTTTTCAAGCACCGCTGCTCGTGTTTAGATTTAGGAGATTCAGCTAATCTTCGCTTGCGTGTAGTTGCAAAAGAAGTAGAATACGAAGTTTGTAACCTGCCTTCTCTCATTTTTGATGGAGTTGCGGAAATAACACGGGGATTGCAGGGAAACCGACGTTTAAAACGCCTTCCACACATTTCCAACTCATTATTTAATCTACAAAAATCTTCATTGTTTTTCAAACCAAAATAGAGTCGTCTTTGATAATGTCCAGTGTATGGGGGCGGACCGTAATAATCATTGTTAACGTAAAAGTCATCATCCGCATAGCCTAGTGTAGCGTAATCTGCACCAACAAGTTCATCACAGGATCTTTTTTGACCCCGATTAGAAACTGAAGGCCGCCTAGCAATCTAAAAGTGAAAGTAAGCACCATAGGCAAGAAGATAAGAAAATTTCGACCTTACGGATTTAAACCAAGTGAAACTCTATAAAACCGATGCAATGCAACTAGTACCTTTGACACTGGAGCGTAAGTCTCACCACCTTTTGCACGGCGTCTTCGTGAACCCGAAATTCCATTGACCTGCCTAGAGTGCCGCCTGACTTGCCTTGCGTACGAGGGAGGGGACTTGTCCACGTAATCGCCCTCCTCCGCTTCTCCAAAGCTTTCGGAAAGATGTGCAAAATCTTCCTCAACTGGATTTATGGACATGGAGTCCACATCGAAAGTGAGACAGTCTCGAGGATTGACAAGTCCACGCAACAGATGCAGCTTCTCCTGCCTCAGACGAGAGTTCACAGCGTCGATAATGCAAGTCTCCGCGATGGGACGAATATGCTTTTGGCAGTGGCAATATTCATGGTCGAGGTAAGGTGCCGGGGTTATGTAGACTTCGCCTGCAGGCTGAACTTGTTTATGCCAGTGAGGGGGCGGCGCCTCCTGATCATCATCCAGTGCGTCCAACAGCTGATCCAGAGCTGAGTTGCTGCCATAGTTGCCGGGCTTATTTACGTGGGACAACACACGCGCCGCATCCATTGGAGTGGGGATTGTTGTCATTGTCGATGCCGTTTGGTGTAAATTCCACATTCGCAAACTACATGAACGGCAAGTAGACGCCGCATTCTCCTTGCACCGATCACACATATCTAAAATTATTAGTGTTTCACCTGTGCATC